GCTGTCATTACTACATTACATTACTATGGGTAACTTAACAAAATATAATTTTACCTTAACCTATCTAATGTGAGGTATCATAGATAGATATAAAGTACATTTATACTATATGTCTTAATTACTCCTAACAACCTTCTTCAAAAGATTTTTTTTTTTAAATCAGGAAGATTTTGTATAATTAAAATGTGGCAACATATAGCTTAATATTGTACCATTTGGTACTGGAGTTTTATACAGTATTGAGTTACCTAATATCAGTTTTATTGTTATTGCTTGGGCGTTTTTCTCAACATACAGACAGATTACATTTGCAAAGTAAACATGGAATTACAAATTACACTAATTTTTATATCAAATTCATATTTTGTATTTTATTTTCTGCAGCCAATGAAATAAGGTACTTTTTTATTGTTGCTTTATGCTTGGGAAGGTGATTATTTTCTTTAGGATGAATAATAGACAAAACTAGATGAAAAAAAAATCAAATAGGGGAGGCATCCATATACTGTAGCAGATGTTTCTTGGAAGAAAATCGCTTGAATTTCCTTTCCATTATGCACAATACAAGATAATTTATATCAAATTGAAATGTATATGAATTAATTTTTCTTGATGTTGATGGAACCAGTGACAAGTTCTGGTTACTTAAGGACTTGTATTATGGCAAGACTGTTTTGGAAAGATTTCCAGTTTCCAATGTAGGCGTATCTGTACCAAGAAATTGCGGAAAGGTTAGATGTTGAGTAAGATTAACAGTCGGTTGTTGGCAAATTATGATATGTACTGCCTTCATTCTGGCACTAAACATTTTCTAGGATTGTTTAGTTAAATTACAAATATAGCATAATAAAAATATTAGCAATTGGTATAGGTTCAAGTTTATTCATTTTCTTTTTGGAAACTTTTCATTACTACAGATAATTCTCCTCTCTCTCCTTTTCTCTTTTTCTTTCTACTCCCTTTTCTCTTTTTCTTTCTACTCCCTTTTCTCTTTTGTTTCTCCTTCCCTTTTCTCTTTTGCTTTCTACTCCCTTTTCTCTTTTGCTTTCTACTCCCTTTCTCTTTTGCTTTCTACTCCCTTTTCTTTTTGCTTTCTACTCCTCTCCTTTTCTCTTTGCTTTCTACTCCCTTTTCTCTTTTGCTTTTACTCCCTTTTCTCTTTTGCTTTCTACTCCTTTTCTCTTTTGCTTTCTACTCCCTTTTCTCTTTTGCTTTCTACTCCTTTTCTCTTTTGCTTTCTACTCCCTTTTCTCTTTTGCTTTCTACTCTCCTTTCTCTTTTGCTTTCTTCTCCTTTTCTCTTTTTCTTTCTACTCCCTTTTCTCTGTAAATAATAAATTCTTAAGTTTTAAAAATATTTCATGATTCCAAGGTTGTTGCAGTGTTCTGTGCTGTTTTTTCAGTATGTCAGTTAAATATTATTTTTATATTGTCTTCCAAATGTTGAGGGTTATTGTAATTTTTATTTTTTGACACTAAAATTTTATAGTTGTCATTTCTATTTGTCTAATGAGGTAATAATTTTTAAGTGCCCCGTTTCCAATGATTTTTTTTTTTTTTTTTATTCGGTGTCCTCGTTTCTCTGACAACCCATGGGTGGTTGGCAGATTTGCTTTAAGATTGTTATTCATAATGAATAACATTTCATAGACAAATATATTTCAAAGAATGCAAGTTTTTTCAGATGGCCTTCTGATCTGGCAGGGGTTTTAATTAATTTAATTAGAAATGGCAATTTTGGACCTTTTTGTTTAATTCTTTATTGATTAGCCATGTTATCTATCAGGTTACTTGGTAATCTAAGACCAAATTCAAGATTTAGATTAAGATATTTGATATTCTGCTAAATTCCTTGATTGAAGCCTTGAATTATTCCCCTTTTTACAATACACCATTTTTAAAAGCAAAATCAGGGTCTCTAAAGATGATTTAGATGCTATAGGGCTAATTTTATATCTAGTTTTTACCTTTTTTAAGGTTGTACAAGGAAAAGGATATTGCATAAACTTAATTTTTCTGTGGCTTCTTGGACTAATTTTATACAAAAGTCTACCATATTTTTTTACATTATAGGATTATCTCATAAGAAAAATAACCTTCTGTTTTCTCTTCTCCCAGTAGTATAAATCACAAAACAAATTTGGCAAAGGGTTCAGTTTTATGAAGGTAGAAGTGCTCTTTGCTGCCATTATCAGTTACAATTTTATTTTCACTTTGTTTAGTTTTAGAATATTATAAGATGCGAGTTCAATACATTTTATAAATGAGGCTGAAGTTTATCTCTAAGCCATTTCTAATAGTTGACTCATAATTACGAAAGGTTACAGCCTTTTCAATTAAGAGTTAGATAGGATATATGGTATTATGGGATACTCTGAAGTTTGATATTGTAAGACTTCTTTTATTATTTTTAAATAATTTGAAGTGGACTTTGCTCCTTCGCCATTTGCAATATCCCCCCCCCCCCCCCGACTTAAAAGGCCATGATATCTAGTAGTTTGTTATTATTGTCTTGTTTAAGAATGCAAGTTTGTCATTGTCAAATTTATTTTTACAAGTTTAAACTCTTGATAGTCATGTTTTCAGCGAGTGTTAAAACTTCTAGAACTTCTAAACTTCTAAACTTTTAATAAAAATATGTCAGTGATGGTTGTTTACTCAAACTAAATATACGTTTTTAAGACGTGACTTCACTTACAAGCTGTTCAAAATTGAATAATTTTGGCATAGAATTATTTTTTATTATGTTGATGTATTTTTATCTTGGTCACTGATGCAATAAATAGCCCTACACATGGAGTGTGTATCAGACACTAGTTGCTCCAGGTCTTGAAAAAGCATTGTTATGAGTCTGCATTAAAGGTCTTACCTTTCATCAGGTTATACCTGCAAGAACCCTGATATTTGTAAAAGGAATAACTTTGACTATGGCAATAATGGTAGTAGCACTGATAGTGAAAGGAAAGTTGTATAAAAATGACATTGATAATGGTGATGGTGTGTTGTGATGGGGGTAATTGTACTAGTGATGGTAGTAGTATTAGTGGTTGATGGTATTAATGGTAGGAAAAACTGTTGCAAGATGGCAGAGAAGCAAAGGACGTATTCATTTGATAAAATATTGAATGCAAACAAAACGTCTTTTGATATGAAACTAAACAAAGGGGACACTGATTATGACAAATCTTGTCTAATTTTTTTGATAAAGAATACAGGGGCAGCCAAACTTGATCTAGACAGCTAGCCCCATTTCATTAAATTTGTGTAATCTAGAAGTACAGATTGAAAAGATCCTATTGATTAGCCCAATAGTATCCAAATATTAAAACCCTTAAAGAAAAAAAAAAAAAGTAATTTATTGGTCAGAGCCGTAACTGAGTAAAAACTTGTTATTCTAGTAGATATCAGGTGTCTTGGTAATCAGTCAACTTCCTCTTCTCATTTCTCCTCCATTTCCCTCTTCTCCCATATCTCCCTCTTCCTCTTCTCAGAAAGCACGCAGGCAGAATAAAAATAAACTTGGATGATGAACGCTTACCACGTACTGAAATCATGCACTTGAAACATTTTCACGAGCAAGCGAAAGTTGCCACAAACTTCGAGATGGATTCAGAATGTTGCCAGATGATTGTATAGTTTTCTATAGGTAAAAATGTCATGTAAGGTCGCAGGGCGCTTGAAAGTAGCTTTTAAGAGTTGAGAACGGCATATGTCATAGAGTACTATAGTGGAAAAAAATGGAAATCTCCATAAGTTGCAGGAGACGCTTAACAGGTTAATATATTAAGAGTTTGTAGACATGGATTAGTGACGTTGGGGCTTTGTTTCAGTCTACGTGAAATTTAAATAAAGGCTATTTTTTTTGTAATTTAAAATTTTGGTTGCTCTCCCTCGCCCTGTCTGTCTTTTTGTTTCTATTGTCTCCTGTGTCTCTCTCTTCTTGTGTCTCCTGTGTCTGTCTGTCTCTCTCTTTCTTTGTGTCTCCTGTGTTCTCTCTTCTTGTGTGTCTCCTGTGTCTGTCTTTCTTTGTGTCTCCTGTGTCTGTCTTTCTTTGTGTCCTGTGTCTCTCTTTCTTGTGTCTCCTGTGTCTGTCTGTCTCTCTCTCTCTCTTTGTGTCTCCTGTCTCCTGTGTCTGTCTTTCTTTGTGTCTCCTGTCTCCTGTCTCTTCCTTTGTCTGTCTTCTTTCTTTGTCTCCTGTGTCTCCTGTGTCCTGTCCTCTCTCTCTCTTTGTCTCCTGTGTCTCTGTGTCTGTCTCTCTTTGTGTCTCCTGTCTCCTGTGTCTGTCTCTCTCTTTGTGTCTCCTGTGTCTGTCTGTCCTGTCTTTGTGTCTCCTTGTCTGTCT